CGCGGGGGGGCCCTGCCTGTACTTTCCAGCACACAAAGGTCAGCGGGACTTGGCCCACAATCCACAGTCTTTCATTTACACTCAGAGACTATGGCCGGGAGGGTAAGCTGTCTGGCAAAAGTCACCAGCTAAATCAGGAAGAACCAAATGCAGTCATGTAGTTTTCAAGCTACCTGCTCACCAACACACATGGAGGAGGGAGCAACTGAGGACTGAAGCAGGGGCTCGCCGTCACTCCCAGCCCCACTCTAAAATGACTGCATGGGCTGAGATACAACACTGCGAAAGCTCAGAAGAATCAAGTGCTACAAGTGCTTTTAAGGTCTGCAGAAATTCACTGAGATTTAGTGAAGCCAGGAACTAGCTCTCTATACTCACATACCTGCACACACACATGCACACGCACATCACTTTGCCCCTTCTGTGTAATATACGTTCCCGGAATACAGCAGCTCAGTGAACTGTGTTATATGAATTCAAAACACAAATTTAAATGCCATTCAGTTTTAGGCCTATCCACGAGAGGATGCTCTCACCTAAACCTTCTGTATTCTCAAAGAACATGTTCTCAGTAATTTCCAAAAAGTGAAAAACTCCTGTACCGCTAGGCACGGAGACACTGTAAAGGCACCTCCAAATAGATCATTAGAGAAATCTGGTTTTAAACGGTGTGATCCTTCTCCAGATGGGCCACCATACCTAGTAAATCTGCACCTTCATCCACGTCTCCAATAAGGCCAGAGCCGGCGGAAGACAGCTCTTCAAAGAGAGACTCCGTGTTGCGATCGAAAGCTTTGTTCTCTATGCCTTTGGTGGGAGTGCTATACACAAAAACAACAAAAGCAAGTCAACCAGTTACAAAGACTCTTTTAAAATTTTTATTTTAATGTAATACAAGTAGATATTAATAAAGAAAATATACAAACAGTTCTATGAAAAAGTAATTTTTCATAACAAAAAGAATCTCAATGAGGGCCAGGGATTTAGCCCAGTGATTCTGCCACCTGCCTCGCAAGTACAAGGTCCCGAGTTCAATCCCTGGTACCAAAAAAAAAGAGAATCTCAATGATAAATACACTGTATATCATGATCTTTTTGTTTTGGTACTGGGGATCGAACTCAGGACCTTGCACTTGTGAGCCAGGTGGAGTACCACTGAGCTAAATCTCTGGCCTGTATATCACGATCTTAAAAGAATATATTTTCAACTGCCAACCTATAAGGACCAAAATGTGTAACAGATATTGTGAAATAGGGAGAAATTATTCAAAATTACACTGAGCGTAAGTGCTTTGTTAATAATTAAAATACATCATACAGAAAGAAAGGTATTAGTATTATTAGAAATGAGTTGTGAGACAGTCAAGTTTTTTTGGTACCAGGGATCGAACTCGGGTCCTTCCACTTGCGAGGCAGGAGTGGAACCATTGAGCTAAATCCCCAGCCCCGACAAAGTCGTTTTTGACAGTGTGTTTAATATAATGGGCTAAGCAACATATAGATTTCTTACCTATCATTTACATTTACTGTACAAAATGAAAAAGAATTCAAAAGGTTTCTTAAGAAATTCCCATGAAATCCCAGAGACAGGTGATAAAGCAAAGACAGGTGCTTTCTCTGAGAGCCGTCCAGAGCCCAGCACACAGGCGGGACAGCGGTGCCTCCGCTCCGAGCCAGCACTGTCCGAGTGCTTCCCACAGATCACTTGCTCCATCTCACGTCTGCTCCACATGCTGCTGCCCCAGTTCCATCAGTAATGAAACCGGGAGGCTAAGGAACTTGCCAAGATGGTTCAGCAACTGAGTGAAAGAGGTAGGATTCAGACCCAGGCACTCTGGCTTCCGAATTCGTGATCTTAGTTGCCATGTTACATGTTGTCCAGAATAAACTAGCAAGGCTTTTTTTCTCTTAAGAGTAATTTGACATTATCTATTAAAACTGACCCAAAACTCTATGACCAAAACTATCCCACAGAAACTGTGTCGTAAGAAGACAACTACTTGTGCAAAGATGGCCAGGAAGCATTTTTATAGTGGCAAAAAGTTGAAATGACTTAAGTGATTAGTAATATAGGACCAATGAAATAAGTTATGCATATACACATAAAATCAAAATTTCAACTTTATGGTTAAAATAGCCAAGTAGAAGGCCTGGTGTGGCGGCATACACCTGCAATTCCAGCATTTGGGAGGCTGAGGCAGCAGAATCGCCACAGCAGAGTTCAAGGCCAGCCTGAACTGTAGAGTGAGACCTTGTCTCAGAAAACTAAACCAAAACAACAACATAAAACCTCTACAGGATTTCCAGTTAAACATGGTGGACTGAACATTGTCATTTATACGTAATAATTCAGAAACCTGAGATTATAGTTAAGAAATTAAAAGGGAGCCAGGTGTGGTGGTGTACACCTGAAATCCCAGCACTCTGGGAGGCTGAGTCAGGAGGACAACAAGCTTGAGTCCAGCCTGAACAACTTAGTGACTTAGTGAGCCCCTCTCAAAAATAATAAATAAATAAAAAATTTAAAAAGCAAATAAAATGTGGACAAAATTCTGTAAGGTGGGAAACATGGACAAACAGTAGAAACTGAGTTAACAAACCAAAGAAAGCTGAAACCTAAGGCTTAAGGAGGTTGATACACTGCCAGAACTCATGAAAGACAAAGGGCGTGAAGGCGTCAGCAACTGTAGAGAGGCTGTGATGTGACCCGCCAAGACCCTGAGCCCTGCTGCTCCAGCATGGTCCTCAGGGTGGAAGCCATGCTCACCAGGCCCAGATGCGGATGAACCCAGGGCTGCTGGGAAATGTTCTACCACTGAGCTAACCCGGCCCTGAGAGGCTACACTTAATGCTACAGGCGGGAAGCTGGAGACCCAGCGAGACTCACCTAAGGATATGCGAAGCAGTCACAGAGCACCAGACGTTTAAAAGCTTGAGTGAAAAAAGAAATACCCAAACCAAAAGAATGTGAGGGAGGCACTAAGACAAAAGAAATGTAGGCAGCAGCAGCATAGAATCAAACCAACTTTTTAAGGAATAAATGCTGCACCCACAGAAGCGAAGCAAAATGATACAAAAAGCAGCACTCGAAGGGCATGGCAGCTCACACCTGTAATCCCAGCACTTGGGAAGCTGAAGCAGGAGGATTGCTCTGAGTTCAAACCCAGTCTGGGCTACACAATGAGACCCTGTCTCAAAAAAAAAAAACAAAACAAAGAATAAATATAAGAACATCCAAGAAAAGGATAAAAGAACCTATAGCCAGGACTGGTGGTGCAGACTTACAATCCCCAGCACTCTGGGAGGCCGAGGCAGGAGGACTGAGTTTATGACTAATTTTTTTTTGGTACCGGAAATCAGTGCTGTAACCCCTGAGTGACATCCATGGCCCAGGACTATGAGTTTAAATGCAGCCTGGGCAATTTAGCAATTGTCTCAAAATAAAAAATAAGAAAAGGGCTGGAGATGTAAGTTCAGTACAAAGGCCCTGGGTTCAATCCCTGGTACCACATATACACACCCCTACTTAATCAGAACAAAAATAGAAGAGACTGAAAAGGAGGGGAACGAATGCGGGTCGGTCCAATGTATTGATATCTATCTAAAAGATGTCCCACAACAAGAGCAAGGAACAAAAATAAAAGGAGAAAGAGAATTTCTAAGAGGAAGGAGACAGATTTTCAAATGAAAATACTTCCTATAAGAAGATACTGAAGACCCTACACAAGCTGACTGCACGAATTAAACAAACAAGGATCCGAAAAGAGCCTGAAAACCCCCAGAGAATGTATACCAAGAAGCAAGAACCCAAATGCTGCCCCAGCTCCATAGGACTGCAGGGCAGTCTCTTCACAAGTCTGAGAGGAAAGGTTTGCAGCAGAGGATGCTGCACCTGGCCAAAGTGGTGAGCACGTCCACAAATAAGGCCCTCATACCAAGTTTCCCTCCTCAAAGTCACTGGTGCTGGCAAGGGAGGGGGGCACAATCAGCAAGCGGGTGACGTGGGATCCAGGAAACCAGAGGCCAGAGGCAGAGAGTGCCCAGGGCTCCACTAGAGATGCAGATGAGACAGAAGCTGGGGGACCAGCTCTGGAAACAACGGGGCTTGGTCTGGGGTGCTGAGGACGTGGACGCTCAGCAAGTGGGGAGCACCCTTCCGCTTCATTAGCAACAGGTTCACACAGAACCAGGAAAGGAAACCATCCAGCCACCCCAGACTTCATTAAGCAAGTCATGAAAGGAAATGTCACTGTATTGTGTTCTGTGGCTAACTTGTGGTTACTATTACACAGTCAGAAAAACATCCAGTGGAAGCCAGTTTAACACGAACTGCAGTCTAATTAGACTGTGAGGATGAAAGAAGGCGACGCCAACCCCACAGCCGTGTCCCGCCGGGCTCCTCCGTTGCCCTCAGGAAGCAGGAGGCCGAGCAGCTCCCCACACCCCCACGGGGGGGGGCGGGGGGGGATGAGGCCGACTCCGCACACAGGAGAGCCTGAGTGCTGGGGTTTCACTTTCTCAAATCTCAGCGGAGCAAAGGAGGGAAAGCAGCAGGCACAGCAGAGGCACCAGAGGGAGGAAGAAGTGACGGCCACGCCTGGGACTGGGAGCCAGGGCCGGAGGACCAAGGCAATACTTTCACCTTCTGATTTTCATTATCACTTGACTACAGCTGCAGACAGCTTAGTAAGAATGTATTTGTTTTTAAAAAGAGGTTCAAAATGACCAAAGTCCACACAAACCATTAACAAGCAGCTTTATCTCCTGGGCTTAGGACAGGATGAGTAATGAGCAAATTCCACTTTTTACAAGCTCCTCCCTTTGCCAGCTGGATGATGACCTTACTATACTTTTCGGAACCTCTTATCTGTAAAGAGAGGATGAAGACACCCACCTCATGGGTTGCTGTTATAATCAAGTTCTATAACATAGCGATGATGAATACCATGTTTGTTAACGTTTATTGAACAAGGCACGTTGCCAATGGTTACAAGCACACTGACTCATTTAATCCTCACAATTGCCTAAGGTATCGTAAGAAATCCAGGCAAAACTCACACCCACGAACTCTTACTGTGGAGCAAGTGCTCTACCACTGAGCTACACCCCTAGTCCTCTTAAAAAAACAAAACAGAACATTTTTTTTGAGACAGAGTCTCAACTCAGTTACCTAGAATGGCCTCAAACTTGTGATGCTCCTGCCACAGCCACCCAGGTAACTGGGATTATAGGCGTGTGCCACCAGGCCCTTACTAGGGCCCATGTTTTCAACAACTATGACATACTGCACAATGTTTAGCCCAGGTTATTAAATGGCATGTATTCTTACGGCTGTTATGAACAAGTTAAAAGATAAAATTTGTGGAAGAAATTTGAAGAAAATAATAGCTTTTCTCCCTTCTTACTTTTGGAAAGTAAAGTATCAGACCTTTCTGAACATCACCGTATTTCACATAACCTTGATTAAGATGCTACCTGACCAGGGGCTGGGAACTTAGCTCAGTGGTTTCGCCGCCTGCCTCGCAAGTGGAAGGACCCGAGTTCGATCCCTGGGACCAAAAATAAAAAAGACACTACCTGACCACTCCCCTCCTCTCACTAAACAGCCTTGCCATGGAAAACGGTACTGAAATGAGACTCCTCTTAATAACGAGACCCTTACAGCTCTGAGGGAGAAGCACTGTATATTCTCTTGGTCCTCGTGGGGAAGGAATCAAGCTGTTCAGACTTGTTACTTCTCTCAATCCTCTTGATTCCTCAAGTTCCAGGAAGCAGGGGATACCCCTTGGCTGTCCTTCCCACATCTCCTATGGCTCCAATGTGTCCCCTCCAACCCTGGGGGTTGCCAAGGCATCAGCACCACGAGATGCCACGAGTGCCCTCCCCGCTGAGTGGGACAAGCCCTGGACAAAGCGGCCTCCACAGTGCAGGATGAAGGGCATGGGGCACAGGGCGCGGGGCGCAGGGTGAGCCCGGCCTCTGCCACTCGAGGGCGCCACACTCCCGTCTCCCTCGCTCTTCATGAATTACCCAGTCTGGGTATTGTTAGAGCAGCGCCAAGGACTAAAACACCATCTTTCCACAGTCCCCCAACACCACCAGGGTAACATTTCACAAACAGCTGAAACCATGCATAACGTCCAGGTTCAAGAACAGAAATTGGAATATTATACTGATATTTCCTCAGCAAAATGAATGAATGGATCTTGGCTAATCAAAGACCAGAAAACAGAACACTTATGGGAGTGGGAAAAGGAAAGAGAAGATGTCACACCCGAACATTCCAATACCTTGAACCTTTGAATCCACTGAGGTCTTTGTCCATATCCAGTTCAGGAGTGGATTCGATGATTGCTTGAACTTCTGACTTGTCTTCATTTTCAGCAGAGCCTGAAAGGAGGACATGGTGAGCTAAATAATACACCTATTACAGTACCCTAATAGGAAAATCCTGCTGCTTTTAGGGCTATATGAGTATTTAAAAGATGTCAGAGTATGTTCTAGGAAACAGGGTTAGACAGTGTAGTATGCCCAGTTAACAGTCAATATCAAAAACTAGGTAAGTTTCTAGTAACTTAGAAAAAGTCTTCATTTGTATTTCTCAGACACACACGGCAGTCTATCCATGGTACTCTTTCATTCCTACTTCCGGGGCAGAATATAGAGAAAATAAATACAGACTAACAAACACTAAAGTGGGGGACAGAGAAGGATCGTCTTCCTGCCTTATAAATTCTCTAACCTTCCAGCCCCACAAATTTTTCAAATAGGTTAAATCATTATACTTTTAAGCTTGCTCATCACTGAACACAACGCATTATGTACCTATTTTATGCATCTAAGGCAGGCGATACACCTCAGACTTATTTCTCACACCCATGACACTGGGTTTATGAGTCCGGAGCTAGTAAGTGAGCGCTAGCACTCACCTGTGGACACATTCCTAGTCTCCTGGGCGACCTGCACTTCAATGTGCTTGCTCAGCTCTAACTTAGCTGGGGAGTCTGTGCCCTTTGCCAACCCATCACTCTCTTCCTTTAGGGGAGTATCGGGGGGAATTGCTGCCACGTCGGAATTCGCTGTTGATGCGGGAGTAGTAGCTTTCGATCCACCTTGGCTAACATCAGAAAGTTCATCCTGCAAATAAAAATTAAAGGGAGCATTTGAACTGAGCAATCTATTCTAAACCACTTCCAAACTGAGTTAGGGGGTGTGAGTGTAGTGTACGTCAGTGGTAGAGTGCATGTTTAGCATGTGCAAGGCCTGGGGTTCAATTCCTAGTACCGGAAAAAAAAAAAAAAGAAAAAGAAACTTGCCTGGAGAAAATGCTATTTAAAAAAACACACAAGTCGGGGATTTAGCTTAGTGGTTTCACTGCCTGCTGCACAAGCACAAGGACCCAAGTTTGATCCTTGGTACCAAAAAAATAAAAAAACACACAATACTCACTGATTACCAATAAATAATCTCTTTAGATTATTTGTAAATAATTGAGAATATTTAAGAAGATTATTTTTCCAGACAAAGATGAGATTTTTCTAAACAGATGTTCACTGTTATAAAAAATAAAGTATTCTAGGGGCTGGGAATTTAGCTCAGTGGTTCCGCCGCCTGCCTCGCAAGTTCAAGGACCCAAGTTCGATCCCCAGCACCAAAAAAAATAAATAAATAAAATAAAGTATTCTGTTAGGGACAACTAACAGTATATGTTCCCATGCAGTGTTTTCCTAATCCAGATTTCACGTGCAGTAAGCTAAATAGGGCAGTAAGGGACTCTGCTAAGTTTGCTTGCCTTTAGATTTGAAAACTGTGTACGGTGTATGAAGGTAAAGACAAAATTACAAGCAAGCAGCTCTATGCAGGAGCTAGTGCTGTAACACACATCACCTTAACATTTCATGTCCACATTGCTTTCTCCCCTAAAAATCTCTGAGTCAGTGCTTCTTAACCTCTTGATTCACAACTCTGGCCTACGAGTCCCAAGCTCTGGGGCCAACGCACTCTCTCCCCAAGGAGTTTCCACAGCACAGGACTCCAGACCAGGCACGTACAGAAAGAAACACTTCGAGCCACAACTCTAGACACCCTCGGGGAATAAGATGAATCTAGATGGCAACAGGGCTGCAGGTTCAAAAGAATTCAAGATTATTAAGAAAGGTGCGGGTGTCCCAACCCTGAGGCTATTCCTGGAAAAAGAGGACACTGTGTCCCTCTCAGTGCTGAAGGCCACAGAACCCTGGGTAGGAGGAAGTCTTATCCCTGCCACCAGTACATGCACATCAAGTCTGTCGTGGAGCAGGCTCTAGCAGCTGCTTGCTGAATGAAACAAAATGGTGCTCAAGACTAGAGATGAAGAAATCTACCAGACTTCAAACAAGGCGGGCATGGCACACGCCCGTCATCCCAGCACTCAGGAGGCTGAGGCAGGAGGATCGCCATGAGTTCTGGGCCAGCTTGGGCTACAAAGGGAGTTCAAGGCCAGCCTGGATTACACAGCAAGACCTTGCCTCAAAAATAAATAAATAACAAGCACCACCACCACCACCTGTGGAAACAGCCCAAGGTGAAAGGACACACTGAGCCCTGTCCAGGATACACACAATTTAGATACATTCTACCCCAGGAAAGAATCGCCATACAACACACCAGTTTTCTTTCTTTTTTTTTTTGTTTTGGGTACCGGGGATTGAACTCTGGTCCTTGTGCTTGCGCAGCAGGCGGCGAAAGCACTGAGCTAAATCCCAAGCCCCACACCAATTTTCTTATCTAGAGCTGGACAAATAAAATGAGGCTGGGTTCTACAGGATTTACTTGTTTCTCTCGTTTATATGGAAATGCTTACTTGAAGGAGAGCTACATCACAGAGTACAGTAAATCCTGGCACCAATCACAGGCAAGGTTTTCCCTTGTATTTCAGTCCAAACTGTCGTCCAAACTGACCACCCACGAGAAGTCGTGAGAAGAGCAACTTTTGGTTTACCTTTGCACAATGTTTTGAAATACCATTTCTCACCTCCTGTTTTATAGCCTTCAGAGGTTCGGGGCTACTGCTGACCTGGGGAGAGAAATGACGCATTTACCTGGTGCTCACGTACTTGTCTCTGGCCTGTGCCTTGTCCCTCAGGCTACAAGATCTGTCTGCTGTGTACTGTGCTCACCACGAGGCTTCGTGTGTCTGGTTTGGCTCTGATTTAAAGGCTTCCTCTGCTAGGGCTCCAGTTAAGCCACACTGCAAGGCAACGTTCTATACTAGAAGCCACCGCCTGGACCAGTGTCCCACCTCACATTTTCACACAGCAGCTCATGTAAGGCCCTTTCTGCTACTCCTACAACGCTACAAAATCTTCCAGAGATTCACGCAGCTCACTTTGGATATTTAACATAGTAAATGTTGGAGCGCACTGGAAAATGTTCCCCACACTTTCTGTTCTCCCTTCATCATTTCTGAAACAGGTAACAATGATCCAAGGGTAGCTGAGATTCAAGTCTTTTTCCACAGAAAGATCTATTTGTTTGTTTGTTTTGGTACTGGAGATCGAACTCGGGACCTTGCGCTTTCGAGGCAGGCGCTGGAACCACTGAGCTAAATCCCTGGCCCAATCTATTTGTTTATAGTCTTTATTTCTATCTGTATACTTTGCCTCTATGAGACAAAAAGATTTTTCTCAATCACAAAGTGACCCTAACTTTCAAATACTGATTTTTTTCCTTATTTAGTTTTTGTTTTCATTTGGTTTTTGAGACAAGGTCTTACTATGTAGTCCAGGCTGGCCTTGAACGTGTGGTGATCCTCCTGCCTCAGCCTCCAGGGTGCTGGGATTACAGGTGTGCACCAGCACACCTGGCTGGTTTTAAATACTCTTGGTCTGGAAATTCATCAAAATCTTTTCAAAATACAGCTCATAGCTCAGTCAATCCCCTCAAGAAAACCCCACAGACTGGCAAGACACAATAGCCTTACCTCTCCCTCATTAGACATTTCTCTACATGTATGGAGAAATGAGAGTGGCGTACAGCTAAGGTACGCGATTCGATGTTCACACAAATGTGTGCGCTGTGGAAATGACAACCACATCAAGCCAGTTAGCACATCCACCCCTCAGTTACCTGGTGACGGCACGTGTGCCAGGCCTGAGAGCAATTACTGTGTGTGTAGCTGAGCTTTTATTCTGGATTCTCATCATTTTTAACTATTTTCACTATCTTTTTCAGTATTATTTAAAACTGTGCAGTTGAATTAATAAAACTGTTTAGAAGAAACTTTTAACTCTGTTTTGTAAAATACTTGGGCCCTGAGCACTGCAACATTTCTGGTCCAGGGCACTGGGTCAAAGGATCAATCAGTTTTCTCTCTGTGATGCTGGAGGCCACACTGAGGCCCATACAGGCCTGGCAAGCACTGCACCCACCACTCAGCTAGCTACACTCACAGCCCAAGTCTTCCCTTTTTTTTTTGAGATAGGGTCTCACTATGTAGTCCAGGATGGCTTTGAACTCACTATGTAGCTCAGGCTGGCCTCAAACTCACACTCAAACTCAAATTCCTGAGTCTGGGCTCAGGAGATCCTCCTGCCTCAGCCTCCCAAGTCCTGGGATTATAGGCATGAGCCACCATGCCCAGCCAGCCCAGTATTTTTGACTATTAAAAAGCAAGATAATTTTTCTCCAACAGTAAATACTTAAGACAAGATTTTATGTTAAAAGCTCATCTTGGCCGGGGATTTAGCTCAGTGGTTCTGCCGCCTGCCTCGTAAAGCACAAGGCCCTGAGTTCGATCCCCGGTACCAAAAAAAAAAAAAGCTTATCTAAAAATCAACTCTAAGCATTTAATAAATGTCCATGTGCATTACCTCAAAAGAAGGCACCACTCAAATACAAGACATAAACATTACTATTTTTGAACAGTGTTGTCTAGATTTTTACAAGTTCTCAACATATGCAAGTATCTTGGTTAATATAAATACAATAAATACGCAGGAAAAATCTCACTTATAAACATGCACTAACAAATAACCAATTCCATTTTCCTTTCCCAAGCAAAAGTTTAAAAAGGGAGAAAATGGAAAAGGATTGAAAGGACTAGGTCTTTATTTTTTTTCCTCTTCAAACTGTAAGGATCATCTATAGGTGGTCCTTGAAATTATCAAAGGAGAATTTATATAAGAAAAAAGTTTATAAACAAAAATTGAGATTGTAGAATTATATAACCTGTTATCACTGTCACAAACATAACATAAAATATTATAATACATAATCCATTTTTTCTTAAGATTCTATTTTTATTTTGCCTTCTTTAAATATTAACACAAAAACCTACTCAGGAGGCTAAGGTTAGGAAGACTGCTGCAGGTTGAAGGCCAGCTATGCTACAGAGCAAGGCTGTGTCTCAAAAACAAAAGAAAGATTAAAGAAAGCCCAAAAGGAGGTAATATGAGCATAAACAACATCAGCGATATAAAGAAGGGGCCTGAAGCGATCACATTCCAAGAATAAATAAGCACAGAGTGCCCGGACCTGGCTCCCAAACAGAGCCCAGCCCTCCAGGGAAAGCACAGGAACCCTGGGCAGCAGCTGATTTTGCACAGGTGGGGCGGGGAGGACACCAGGGCATGGAGCAGCTCACTGGGCTGTGGGAAAGCAGAGGACCAGATGTGAAGAAAGCATACAGGAGCCAATCTAACAGAGCCCCGATGTTCACAGCTGCAATGATTTGAAAAACCAAACGACAGAACTGGAGAGCCCCCAGAATAAAATACAGATCCACTGACTCCAAACTGGAAGAAGAGGAGGGGAGGGAAAAAAGGAAAAGGAGTTATTCCTCATAGAACTGTTCTTAACAAATGTAGATGGATGAAGAAAATAGAAAATATCCACTAGCAAAATTATAGTAATAATTGTGGTAGGGAAGATTCACTGAAGGATGCTAAGATCAGCAGATGAAAGTTTGAGGTGCCACTGAGCTAAATCTGCAGCCCTTTCTGTGGTATTCTTGCCAAAAGAAAAACAACAACAACAAAAAAACCCCAGGACCTCAGCTGGACAGGGTGCACAGCTGTAATATCAGCACTCTTCAAGGCTGAGACACAAAGACTGCAAGTCTGAGCCCAGCCTGGGCAATTTAGTAACCTAGTGAGACTCCATCTTAAAATAAAAAATAAAAAAAGAGCTGGAGATGTAGCTCAATGTGAGGGCCCTGGGTTCAATCCTCAGTACTAGGAAGAAAATACAGCCCCAATCTAATTGTGAGAAATCATCAGAGGTTAACTGAAGAGATACTGTACAAAATAATTAACTAGTACTCTTCAAGGTCATGAAAGATGGCAGGACAGAACAGTCACATATTGGAGGGGACTGAGAGGAGAGGTCAAGATGGGTAAATGTAACATAAGAGCCCACAAGGATCCTGGAACAGAAAAAGGACCCTACTGGAAACTGGTGAGATCCAAACTCAAGCCTGTACATTAACTAACAGTGCAATGCCAATGTTAATCCCTCAGTTGTGAGAACTGCTCTGCAGTTAGCATTTGGGGAAGCTGGAAGAAAGGTATATGAGAACTTTGTGCTCTTCTTGCAACTTTTCTCTAAGTTTAAAATTACTTGAAAACAAAAGGCTTTTTTAAAAAAATAAAAAACCGTTGTAAAATTCACCATTCTATAATAGGAATCTTTGATAACAGACAGTAAAGAGGAATAGGACTCAAATACTCTAAGAGATTCAAGCCAGTGAAAACTAGAGCCACAGGAAGAATCTGAGAACAGAAGCCCACAGGAAGACGACGGAAAGTCCTTCCCACAGGAAGGTGCTCTGTGGGCCTCAGGCCTCAGCATGCTGAGCACATCCCCGGAAGAGTGCAGCGCACACCGCTGGCTCCACACACCCAACTGCCAACAAGGCAGCATGGCAGTCCTGCTACAGAGCTTCGAAACGTGGCGTTGTTACAGAACTCTTTAAAATGTTCCCAAGTAGGTGAACTGTGCAGAAAGCAAAGAGGACAGGAAGATAATGCGTACTGTACCACTGCGCTTTGTACTGAATTTTTACTATCTGGTAGGACAAGTTCCTGTACTACTCCTTTAGAATTGTCTTCATTAAACTTGGTCTTTTGTACTCTAATTCCTTCTTGATTTGCAGCTTGTTCATGAATAAAATTCAGTGAGATAAAAAGCTTCCCTTACTATTATTGCTCAGTCCCACGCCCCTATGTGTTTATGGCACATTTTTTAGCAGAACAACTTTGGTCATTTGGTTTCTTTTACCAACTTTACTAGAAAAACCTCCAGCTTAAAAAAAATTCTGTTAATGATGCAAAATAAAATGCTTCTTCTTTCTGCCTTGGATTGATCTCTAAAGAATTTGAGGATCAGGGCCGGGGATTTAGCTCGGTGGTGCCGCCGCCTGCCTCACAAGCACAAAGTCCTGAGTTCAATCCCCCGTACCAAAGAAAAAGAATTTGAGGATCATCAATCAAGTGCCAGGTGAGGCTTCAACTAAGCTGTGCTGTTCAGCCTGGCCTTAGTAACCCAGCACAGGGTAAAACCTGTATGCGTTCAAGAAAAGCGACAGGATGCAGAGCTATAGCGTTCAGGGCAAGGGTCAGGCTGGAGACTGGGACCTGTGACCATTAATGTGTAGGTGCCATTTACAGACCTGGATGTAGAGAAGGGCTGAGAGTGAAGCCCTGGCTCACTCCAATGTTTAGAGGACCCAAAGTAGAAGAGAAACCAGCAAGGGAAAGAGGCAGGGAAAAATCACATAGAGCATGACAGGTAGGGTGTGAAGGAAACACTTTAAGAATTGGAATCTAGGGTTAGCTCAGTGGTGCCGCCCCCTGCCCCGGAAGCTCAAGGACTAGAGTTCGATCCCTGGTACAAAAAAAAAAAGAGAATCGGCATCTATTCAAATGTGTCAAATGCTACTGAAAGACACAGCAAGAACTGAGGATTTTTCACCAGTGTTACAAAGAAAATGTATTTGTCGATTTTGACTAAAGGTATGTTGGTGCAATAGACACGAATGACAAGTCTGAGAGGCGCAAGATGGAGAGAAGCGACAGCTTCCCAATCATGCAGTGACTGGCCACCACCTCGGGGCCCTGCAGCTGTCCCCTGGCCTTTGTCTCCGTCCTCCTGCAGACCATGGGTCACCTGCACATTCCCACTTCCCTGAGGGAAGCACCTTTCCCTACTAAGCACCTCCAGCTTACCTCATTTTCTTTTTTTTTTTTTTTTTGGTACCAGGGATCGAACTCGGGTCCTTGCACTTGCAAGGCAGGCGGCATAACCACTGAGCTAAATCCCCGGCCCTTACCTCTCTTTCTTAATAGCGCTTATAAATACTTGCAATTCCATTATTTCATTTGTTTACTTGTTGATCCACCTCACAACAATGCGATAAATCAAGAAATACAGCGTGCAGGCTGGGGGAGGGGAGTACAAAAGACCACAACGTATGCACGTGTACCAGCTCCCCAAGGTGAATGCAGTCACTGCACATCGCACACATACACTAGGGAAAAAAGGAAATCTGTACAAACTGCTCTTTAAGAACTGCACAGTTGTCTAGGCCCATCGTTCCTAGAAAATCCAGTTATTTATAACCCTACTCACTACAGTTTCTCACAGTGGGAAGATTTCAATACAGAAACAAAGAAGGCTTGGGTCAGGGATTTAGCTCAGTGGTGCAGCTGCCTGCCTCACAAGCACAAGGTCCCGAGTTCGATCCTTGGTACAAAAAAAAAAAAAAAAAAGAAAAGAAACAAAGAAGGCCAATAACCTGGCAAATCTCCCTTTACTGCTTTTTTTTTTCGCCAAAAAATTTCTATTGTTCTCTGTTCCCTGGTTATAATGCATCATATGGTTTTTCTGACAGGGTATTTTTTACCTTAACTTTACACTACAAGAAAACAGTGCTCATAAAATTAATGTTAATTATAATTCTTTTCCAATTTTTGTCTTTCTCTCTTTTTTTTTGGCTGCAGTGCTGGGACTGGAATCCAGAGCCTTTGCACTGGCTTTGTGCCCAGGCTTCCCTCAACCTCCTTTTTTTTTTTTTTTTTTTTAAAAATTTTAATTTAATTTTATTTTTTTTTGGTACCAGGGATCAAACTCGGGTCCTTGGGCTTGCAAGAACCAAGTGGCAGAACCACTGAGCTAAATCCCCAGCCCCTCTCAACCACCTTTTTAAACCTCCTTTTTTGCCACATCATTTAAATGCCCAGGGTGGGCTCAAACTTGCCACCCTCCTGCCTCAGGCTCCCAGACTACTAGGATCATCTGAGCTGTAGGAGATTTTTTTTTTTTGGTACCGAGGAGTTCAAGGATCGAACTCGGGTCCTTGCACTTCCAGGGCAGGCAGCAAAACCACTGAGCTAAATCCCCCGCCCATGTAGGAGATTTTAAAAAGAGATAATGTAGTCCACTCTGTGACTTGTGAGACAAGATGAGAGGGTGTGTGATACGCCTGCGACATGGCCCATGAATTAACCCAACCCTTGACTTCCAGCCCTTGGGAAAGTTAGAGAAGGGCGTCTGGTTAATTAGAAGGCCTTAGGTGAATAATAAAATAGGTCCTAAGGAGAGGCACATTTTACACATCAGACTTGTGCCATTTTGCAATGTACCACCTGGTTCCTGAAAATCGTTGTCTGTTGGGGCTTTATCTCAGAAAGTGGCTCTGCGTCCAGACCTTGAAAAGCAAGATGGGATTGGTTTAGAATCTTCCTGGGGAACACTGGCCTTACCATCTCCACGGAGGACACGAAAAGCTACTATGCTAAGTCCATACTAATCACCTCTTAAAGATATAGCTTGCCGGTAAATTTCTGTCAGAGCATGTCACTGGATTAAATAACAAAAGTAGTATAATAATCATCTATGAAAGTGCACTTTTGGGTAATACAAACTATAGCTGCCATATGGTAATTCATTTTTGATGTACTGAAAGTATCCCTCCTACTTAATTTTGTTTCGAGAAAGGGGACACAGCACATAGGCCAACAGAGGTGGATATTTTGGGAAATCTATTAAACCTACAGGCAGGCTAAAAAAGCTGGTGTGGCTGTAGGCGTGAAGAATGTGGGTGTCTCCTAGAGCCTTCACTGAGGAGCGAGCCTGACTTCAAACAAGTCAAGTTCAAAGGGAAGAGAAGCAGGGAGGCTCTGAGGCTGGGGTTGAGCTCAGTGAAGAGCACTTGCCTAGCACACAAAATGCCCTGGGTTCAATCCCCAGGGCCGGAAAACAAGAAACAAAAACATTTTTCAGTGAGAGAAAAGCCATCGAATATTTAATGAGGGCTTATTGTTTTGAGCATATTTCAAAGGTCAATAGAATGATTCTGAAAATCTCTAGCGTCTGGAACTGAAAGACCATTCATATTATCTCAAAAGAGTCTAACATCTAAAGGAAATAATTCATTTAAAAGCATGTTTTTAGTAAGCCGAGGTGGTGCATGCCTGTAATCCCAGCTAGCTACTCAGGAGGCTGAGGCAGGCGATCACTCACAAGTTCAAGTCCAGGCCAGGGATTTAGCTCAGTGGTGCTGCCGCCTGCCCCACAAGTGCAAGGACTGGAGTTCGATCCCCCGTACCAAAAAAAAAAAAAAAAGCAAAAAAAACCAAGTTCAAGTCCACTGCGGGCAATTTAGTGAGAATCTGTCTCAAAAAACATAAAAAGGAGGGGCCGGGGATTTAGCTCAATGGTTTCGCCACCTGCTGCACAAGAGCAAGGTACCAAAAAAATAAATAAATAAATAAAAATAAAAAGGACTCGGGATGTAGCTCAGGGCTCCACGGCTTAAGCCCCATTACTGCAAAAACAAACAAATATGTTCTGAGCACCTGTAAATTGCTATACACTCTCCTAAGTGCTAGGGATACAGCAGAGAATTTATGTTCTTAGTGCAGAGAAACAAACAAGTAAATATGTAAATGACTTCATATTTTAGAAGACAATAAAGCTATCTTTAAGCACTTAGAGTACCGTAAGGATTGTGGAGAAAAATAAGGCATGAAAAGGAGATAAGATACAAATAATTCCTTTATATACAAATAGCCTGTTTATGATACAGTAGACTTTATAACAAAGCTTTTAAAATAACCAATACTTCCTTTATAAGTATTCTATAAGACGGAGAACATAATTATACATTTTTGTGTGTTTTTTCCTTTTTTTGGTACCGGGGATTGAACTTGGGTCCTTGCGCTTGCACAGCAGGCACCGAAACCACTGAGCTAAATCCCCGGCCGTATTTTTGTGTGTTTTTTGAGAAGTTGTCTCACTATGTTGTCTAGGCTGGGCTCAAGTGATCCTCCTGTCTCAGCCTCCCTACTACTTGGGACTACAGGCACATGTCAGTACACTTGGCTAACTTTAAAGACAAAATTTTACTGCTGCCTGCCTCACAAGTGCAAGGTCCCGAGTTTAATCCCAGGTACAAAAAAACAATTTTAAGTTAATTATTAGTATATCTCCACTATTAGCCTCCACTTTCTCCTGAGATGGAGTCTTGCTGCGTTGCCAGGCTGGTCTGGAGTTTGTGGGCTCACGAAATCCTCCTAGACTTTGCCTCCCAGGCAGCTGGGACCACAGGCCTGGCCACCAAGCCTAGGTAGGCTATGTAGTCCAATACATATATCGTTTATTTGATGACAAGTTCTGGACATAATCCATAATAAATTAACACCAGGCCTTTTTGATTAAACACAATGCACGTTTTTTTTTTTTTTGGTACCCGGGATCAAACTCAGGACCTTGCGCTTCCAAGGCAGGCACCGGAACCACCAAGCTAAATCCCCAGCCCCCACAATGCACTTTTGTGTATTGCTTCATAAAGTAGTTTTGACATAAAAAACAGTGCTTTGTTTTGTTTTTGACGTGAAACCCTAAATTGTGAAGTGTGAAGTTTCCAACAGTTAACCAGGGAGTTCAGGTGACAGAGATTTTCAATTCTAAAAATCATAATTAAGTTTACTAGTCACTCCAGCCTAAGTTCATCTTATACAGCTAAATCAAACAGAAACTAGCTTTGTCATTCGGGGAAGACCTTATTTAATTTTAAGACACCACGTTTAGGAATGATTACATCTCACTGCACTCTGCGGTGAGGGACTTCTGCAGAGATGAGAAGCCTGTCCAGGATGTGACAGCACCGGCAGGGCGGCAGGGCGGCTCACCTTCAGGCTAGTGTGCGAGCGAGGCTGGCTCAGATCCTGGAATTTCCACTGCTCGGAGCCTGGGGTCTCGCCACCCTTCTGAGTGTCCGGAGTGAGCAGCCCATCTCCAGCAGGCAATGGGAAAATCCCTAATGTTATAGGGCGCTCTTTTCTATTAGAAGAGGGGAGAAAACAGTAAACAAGCATTTATTTTTATTTGTCCTGACCTCGAGTGATAAGCCTGGGCTATCACTGCTTTGGGGTCATCACTTTCAATGACACTGCCCATCTGAACATGCAGACAAACCAGAAAAGAGGATAGAATCTCTGAAGTTTAAGTCATCTCTAGGAGATTAACCAAAGTGTCCAAACTGTTTGGGAAACCGTACAAGTTACTGCTAAGTTTTGTGCCAGGCAGCAGCCAGTGGTGTAGTCTGCTCTCAGAGCAGCGCTGCCCAGTGGCCCGTGATTGGGTCAGTGAGTCCAAGCCCCCCTCCCGCTTCCCAGGCCCTCTCGTTAATCCCCGGATGTTTCCTGGTGCCTCTGAGGGTACACCTTTTCTGCCTAGAAAAAAACCAATACATTATCTGAATCAAGGCTACTGATTAAATGCTACCCAAAAGATTTTTATCCTAAAGTAGAATAATTCTATTTTTCTACAGACCACTACATGAATTCCTTTCAGGCACTGTACACATGAGAAAGCCATTGTTAGTATTTTTCCCAAACAAGGGGCCCAAGAGACTCCATTAAAAAACTGCTGATTTTCCAATGTTCTGTGGGAAATTTCAAAGAACAAGAGTTATACTTTTAATGATAGAATTTCAACAAAAAACACATTTTTTTGGTTTTGCCGCCTGCTGTGCAAGCGCAAGGACCCGAGTTTGATCCCTGGTACCAAAAAAACCCAAAAAACAAACCAAAAAAACCACATCTTTTGTTGATGAACAGAAGATTCCAAATGAAAGCACTTTAGAAAGTGGGAACAAGCCTACTAACAGGTCATCATGGGTCATTAACTAAAAAATGTGGAAACTGGGAAAGAAACAAGACACTATAGGTTTAGCGGCCCCTGAATTCCTACCTCTACTGAGAAAGAGAAAGTTAGAGCAGAAACAATGGGGTTATAGATAAAAGCAAGGAAAAAAGTGTGCTAAATGAGTCTTATTCTGTAAGTACATTTTTAGACCAAGAAACTTAAGTCACTGTTGAAACCTATCCTTTTATGTGCCTTCCATTCCTATCAAAAAGGAGGAGTAAAACTGTCAGAATGTCTTCTTAGAGTAAGGGACACAAGGGAGCTGAGAAAATGCATTTTATCAAAGTTGTATGCACAAGAAAATAAACCTTTAAAATAGGAATTCCCCCTACCACTTCTTCACATTTGTAATACTTTTTCCTGTTTGATTTAGGAGAAAAAGTCAAACACAGGCAGCCAGCACAGTAAGAGATTAAATTTTAATAGAAAAACTAAGCTTGCAACTAAAAGCTGCCAGAACAACAAATGACAACAATGAACTGTTCCGGCCTGGGGATTTAGCTCAGTGGTTCCGCTGCCTGGCTTGCAAGCACAAGGACCCGAGTTCGATCCCTGGTACCAAAAAAAAAAAAACCCCCCCAAAACAATGAGCTGTTCCATTTACATCTCTTCTTCCCAATCAGCAGTCAGCAACAACTTTTCCTTGAGTCAAGGACCAAGGGGCATCTACTGTTTCCTTTGTGACTAACACAGTGCATGCTGTCCACGTGCACATTTCCCTGTGACAGAGAACTTGCCCTTTTTTTTAAAAAGTTCTTTTTTGAGAATAACTGACCCGTATGTTAAAGTATGTCTTTCATTAAATAATCGTACAGTTGTTGGTAGCTAGACACTCCACCCCTATACTAGGGCTCGACCCCAGGGCCTTCACACAGAGCTGTATCCTTATTTTTTTTTTTTTATTTTGATCCAGGGTTTTTGCTAAACTGCTGAGTTGCCCAGGCCAGGCTCAAACGTGTGATCCTTCTGCTTCAGCCTCCCAGTGTGCTGGGATCACATGGGTGTGCTACTACTCCCAGCTTCAATTTTTTTCTTATATCTATAATTGCCAGTACAAAAAGCTGTTGATTACATCAATCTGATAAAGTTTAACACCCAATTTGGGGGAACATATTTTGGGAACAGAAAATGCTACAGCTTAAGAGCTACTATAAGATCACCTTTATTTCTTTAACATACCTTAACTGCCTTAAGTAAAAAGTGACTGGGAGTTGAATCAGACTCAGTCTACTGAAAAGCTCACTACCCTGAAGTGCAGTGAGGGGAGAAGAGAACAGACTCCTATGAATCTGTCACACTGACTGCTGCAAGAAATCAAAACCCAAGCCAGCCGTCAGAATCCTCTTCCTATTCTAATCCCAACACATTCATATTCACACATATCAAATACGGAAAAAGTTTAAAACTGCTGGGGGAAAGAGTCTTCAACTCCAACTTTTACTGTCCTTCTAAATCTACAACCCAGCTGACAAATAGAATCCCCACCTCTTCCCTTTGCTTCTTTCAGTCATTCAGAAATCGCTCTCTAGAAAAGCGGCTCTCACAGACCAGCAGCTCTGTCAGGAGGCTCAAGGCTACCCGGGGCTACACTGCTCTGACTCTGGACAGAGTAGTATTCTACTCTGCTCTTACTGATAAATTATGTAAGAGTTGGGAGACACGTGAGTATGCAAGTTCACTAGAATTGTACTTTTGAGAAGAAACCCTGGCTCTGTGGGTTCCCATGCTTAGTACTCTATCAAATGCTCCTGCAGGATCTGGAGGAAAGGGAGCAAAGGAGGGACACCTATGGAAAAACATCAAGTGGTACTTTAACGCCTAGATTGAAACACTTGCTATCATTGCTTAGTAACATCACTATCCAACAGAAACAAAGCTATCATCAGCAGAATCCTAGGTACACCTTTGTTAAATTCCTTTAGTTCCACATATGTTTTTTACTTCATTATTTAAATGTTAGTTTATATGATTAAATAATTTTCCAAACACGTTTTTAAAAGAGCTTTTTGGGGCCAGAGATTTAGCTCAGTGGTTCCGCCGCCTGCCTTGTAAGTGCAAGGTCCTGAGTTCGATCCCTGGTACCGCAAAAAAAAAAAAAAAGGAGCTTTTTGGCTATACTCACATTTAATACAACTAAGATAAAGGACAATAAAAAGATTGCATTTGTTGAACATTCACCATGTGACAGGTTCTGAGCCACACAACTCACTGACCTATCTCATCTAACCCTCCACAGGAAATGGGGTGACTTTTCCAGCTTTAGAGCAGCAAAGTGATGCCCAGAGACTTGGTGACAGTGACTGGTAGAGCCAAAGATAGAACCCGGGTCCATCAATTCCAAAGACCCTGCTGCTTCCCTTGGAACTATCAACGTTTCAACAATTTAATCTTAACAGTGAAGACTACTATGTTTATTCAATCAAACTAAGAAACTTTCGTGTCATGCAATTTTTAAAGTTTAAGCATAAGGTATTTTAACAATAAAATAAATGCAGTTTTAACAGTTCTGCTAAAAATGCAACACATATTATTAGTGACTGTGAAATTAATGTCCCACCCATCTTGTGGCTGTTATTTAACACAAAATAATAATCTCTCTCAATTTTTTTTTTTGGTACCGGGGATCAAACTCGGGTCCTTGCCCTATCTCTCTCAATTTTTAAAGCCAACCATGAGGGAAGGAGCCTCAGAGAAGGAAAAGTGAGGTGCCAAAGGTAAAAGTGTGGGACAGAGCCCTTGCACCCAGGCCGTGTAGCCCCAAGCCTCTCCCCACTCCACACAGCCTTCTTGGATGCACCGGAGCCCAGGCCAGTCCCTCGCATTGTCGGATTTTGATGTTTGACGGATTCTTGAGTCCAGGTGTTTGTAATCTCCTCAAAACCTAGATACTCCGAGACACGTACAGGCATCCATATAAATCAGTTACCAGATTGTTCTGTTTTTTAGAAATCAGCAAAGAAAATACATGACCAAGCATTAATTTTTAGACCACAGATGAAATTTAATTTCTGGGCCTTATATTAAAATTGAATCTAAACTGGCCTATGAATAAAAAAGAATACACTGAGGGAAGTACTCTAATTCTTAACTTGTCTAAGTCCACAGTTAGAATTCAACTCAGCTATTTTGATGATTAGAAAACAAAAGACCTCAAACCTCCAGCCTCTGCGAGTAGAGGATGCTCTTGGGGCTGCAGCAGAGGGGCAGTAGGAAGGCTGGCGGTCAGTGACCACCCCCACAAGCAGGCATGGACATCTGTCACCCAGGACTACAAAGCAAAGAATGGGCGACATCTGACACAACAATAGTGAATAGGCTTTGTAAAGCTTTCACAACTTCCAAGTGTAAATACTGGGGTAACACAGTCCTAGCCCTAAAAAGTTTAAATCCTTTTACTTTAAAATAACTTTAAGGAGGAAAATACTTAAAAAATTGTCAATTCCCATGAGCTGTTATTAAAAATTATAAAAATGAAAAAAATTATAAAAATGATAAACTTCTTCCACCAGTCAAGGAAAACTGGAACAAAAGAAACCTATGGCCTGGGACTGCTCGTTTGCAAGACCCGGCACCACAGCTTTCTAGAGCTCCAAAGCGCTCGGAAGCTAAACCCGGGCTGTATGAACTTGGCCCCAGCCTCTCCTCCTGCTCTCCCTTTACTCCTTCAACCTCCGGCTTAGAACAAGACCACACTGACCTTGTACCTGGGGGTAACTATGCTAAGAAAAGTCCTTCTCCTTGATGGGTAGTTTCCAAACACAAAGCAGGATTCCTAAGTGGTGGCCTATAAATTAGGGTAAATACAAATAGACATCCTAGCTTCAGGCCATTTTCCATTGTTTCAAGCTGCAACAGAAATGGTTACAAAGCAGACCGAGGAAGCTAAAACTGTAAGAAAAACCAGCAAGCACGGGCTTCCAAGAATGACCGGAGTACCTGAGTATCCTCGGTAGGTTCTGCGTCAGAGCCGGCACCCCGGTAGAAATAGAAAAGTGCACAAGCAGCAAAACAGAGAGAGATACTAGGATGGCAGAATTAATGACCACCGCCCCGCCAACAAAGCCAAACACAAACAGCAGCATGCATCCAGGACTCATGGCGCTGCGCTGGCATGATGAAACGCCCGTTCCAGGAGGCCTACACCGGGGCCAAGGGGGGATCTTTGTAGTGAGGAGCTATCATTCAGCGGCTGCCCAAAAACAATGCCATCGGCAGCAGCTTTCCACTCCATCCCGCAGCGGCTCGGTGGTGACGTCACCCCGCTCCGCCAACCACCCGCACCGCGCTGCTCCTGCTCCTCGCGGTTCTGCCAGCGCCGCCGGCCTCTGAACAGCCTCCCGCGCCGCCCCAGGTCCCGGCCCAGTCCATTGGCTGCGGCCGGAGCTGCATAATTTATTCACACTCCTACATCAAACGGGTGGCTGGCCAACCCTTTCAGAAAGGTCCAATTATACAGGAGCTATGACAAATTCTCAGCATTCTCACAAATTAGAAAATTCCAAACCCAGTCTAATCTCCATCAGTTCTTTTTTTAAAGGTCGAAATACCTGAAGATTCTGCTTATACAGCATAGCTCTCAGGATTTAGCTTTTCAACAGTGAAGGCTGCTTCTATTTTTCCATGCTATTTCCTCCTATAGCATTCCAACCACAGTGGAGAGCTTTTAGAATCAGGCTATTATTCCAGGATTAAAGAACAGAAAAACAGCAACAAAACAGATTATCTCGTTTTTTCTCAAGGCAAAACGTATAACAAAGCTTACCTAATCCTACTGTGAGCCGTGGACTCTAGTTGGTCATTCCCTGACAGCTGGTGAAGTTTCGTTCTCTCTAAGTGTTCCATATAATTATGGATCATCTATTTTAAGACAGAAAAAAAAATTAAGACTAATACCTGGAACAAAACACAATATTATTGCACAGGAGACACTTCTGTATTATTTTCTTATTTATCAGCTTACCCAATTCCATGTAAAAGATTAATGAATAAAAAATCTGAATGGCAAAGGAATACAGAAATGCTTACGTTTCATATGCTACTGTCCGTAAGAGTAGCCAATAGCTTGTTTAGCGTGGCAAAAGCTTTTTTAATAATATGTAATACTGCTAAATGAAATAATATTGACACTGAAGTTAGCATATTGACGTTGGGAAGAGGTAATAAAAGACCACTAATTAGAAATAATAGATGCTACCTGAGAAATCTATTCATTAAAATGGGAAACAAAATTAATGTGAAACTTGAGAAGAAACCATATCCTTTCTTATGTGTTGGTCTTTTCCATTTTAAGAGATTAACAAAGATCACTGTTAATTTAATTAACACCAAGATGTTGACTAATTGTTTCTGCAGATTTAATTGAAGGAATGTTAAAATATTTTTTCTTTATGAATTTACTGGTATCACAGTGTAATCATTTATAAGAACAATAGTAACAAACTAATACAAATTTTAAAAATACTGTTTGAATCTTAGATTAGGAACAATGACAGAGACATTGAGCATAGAAGTGAAAACTTTAAGACTATCAAATAGATAAACAGTTAAGAAATTCTAAGGCCTAATGGGGGAAAAAAAAATAAGAACCAAGATGCATCATGTAAAGGTACAAATTCCCAATGAGAAATGTAAATGCATTGTATACCTAAAATGTACCAATAAAAATACAAACTGAGAGAATAAAAAAAAAAATAAAATAAATTCTAAGGCCTGGGCCAGGGATTTAGCTCAGTGTTTCCACTGCCTGCCTCGCAAAGCACAAGGATCAGAGTTCGATCCCCAGTACCAAAAAAAAAAAAAAAAAATTCTTAGGCCCTATTCTTGATCATCTAAATTTTCATTTTTGAGGATGCTAAATCTGGAATTAACACACACAAAGAAATTTCAACCAAAATCAAAAAGCCTTCAGTAGGGATGCTAACATGCTATAACAAAAAAACGAATTTTAAAAAATAAGAAATGGTATGTTAGTATTTTACAGTGAGGAAATAGTAAAAGGCAAGAAAAGCTGATGTTTTCCTTGGAAATACTACTTGAATCTTAACACTGCAGCACAGAACAGCTCTGGAAGCTATCTAGCATTAGCTCTATTAAGATGTATTTATATCTCAATATAACTAAAAATGCAATGTAGCATACTAAAAAACTATTCAAAGAGACAAAATTGTAAACAAATTTTTAAATTTTACTTTAAACAGCATGCTTTTGTTGTGAAAATCCTACTGGCATGTACAAAAATTAAGAAATGTAAGTTAATTTTAAAGTGTTATTATTAAACTAATTAACTCTCATGCGTGAAATAAAACAAGTAATCTGTCAAATCAAATCAATTAGAATATTACCCAATTAAGACTAGTCTACACAAGAAATGTTATCAGCAAAGAAAAAAGGACATAAAATCATATAAATATAGTATGTGAAAGCATTTTTAAATGTTTTGGGTTTTTTTCTTTCTCTCTCTTTTTTGCAGTACCAGGGATCAAACTCAGGACTTTGCACTTGCCAGGCAGATGCAAGTTTTGTTTTGTTTTGAGACAGCCTCTCATATGCAGTCCAGGCTGGTCTTGAATTTATTATGTAGCCCATGGTGGCCTCCCACTGAAGAGGATCCTCCTGCTTCAGCCTCTAGAGTGCTGGGATTAAAGTGTGTGCCACCGTGCCTGGCTCACATTTTTTAACCTTTAACTTTTTATTGTAAATTTATAGATTTTTCTCTTTACTACCATTTTCAGAAAAAAAATCACAATTTTGGTCTTTGTGTCAGCAATAGTGAATTATATTCTTCTTGTATCAGGAAGAAATTTTAGCGGAAAAACATTAAACAGCCTAATATAACAAAGTTATCATTGGGTCTAACGGATGTCAATTTAAACTTTCAAAAGATTTTAGAAATAGTAAATAAAACTTCTTACGTACTGGACAGTATCATATAAAACTGATTTGTTTAAATGAAGAATCTGTTTCTTTAAACATTTCATGGGAATGAACTGAACCTTTCCCAGATTGATTTTCTAGGAATTAATTTATTTAATAAAGAAAAACAAAATGCAAAACACAGAATCAGTTCTCTTCCAAATAGCTCATTCTAGGTTCTCTATTATCTTAAATGCTTGATAAAGATTTAAAATTTAGAAAATGTTGAATTGTAAACCACCTTCAAATAATGACTGATCAAGGCAGGCATGGTGGTGAGAGGCTGAAGCAGGAGGATCGCTGCTAGTTCAAGGTCAGCCTGAACTACATAGCAAAATCCTGTCTCAAAAACCAAAAAAAAGAAAAACAAAAACAAAAAAATGACTGATCAAGTAAGGCAGGTATGTTTACTCTGAGGTTCCAAGAGGATCCCAAAAACGGAACTGCACACCCAACTACAGCAGCACATGGCAGAGGAGTAGCAACAGAAGGCAGCTACCACGTTGGAGCACCAGCTGCGCTCATTTACCCCTCACGATGTCAGAGTCACAGCTCAACTCCACCTCAGGTGCAGAGGAGCCGGCTTTAGGGGCTGAGCACCAAGCACCACAGCCCGCACTGCCTCTGCCCTTTCGGGCCATCTGCGGCCAGCAATGCGCTCATTGTCTCTGCCTCCACCCACCAGAAAAGCCCACGCCTGAAAGCATTTCCCAACGTCTGAAACACAATAATCCACACTATAGTCCACGAATGCTCAAGAAAAGTAGAAAAAGTGTAAACTGTACAAAACATTGAAATGCTAGGCTCAGGCCTAGCATTAGAGAGGGGCTGGGGCAGGCCTGCTCGTACCAGGCAGGAGAGGGTAAGTGGGCAGAAGCTACCCACTTGGGGCCGCCAGTGTCATCCTTCTTGGCCTCAGAACTCCAATTCTCAGTTTTCTCCGGCATGCAAATTAATTCACATATATTCAGGAGTGAGCCGGCAACTAACAGTTACAGTCACGAAGAAGATTCCCAAGGAAGCTGAGGCAGGAGAGTCATGAGTTCAAGGGAGCCTGGGCACCTGAGCAAGATCCAATCTCAAAATAAAAAGGGATAGGGGCAGTAGCTCAGCAGCAGAGCACTCGCCAGCATGCACTCGCCTAGGGCCTGAGTATGGGGGCACAGGGAGGGGGAAAATCCCAAGCACACAGTCTGGAAAATCCAGACCCTAAGTCCCCTTCTGAAGACATCTGTGTCACGGCAGGGGCCGACTCAGCACTGGCTAAGAGCGCAGAGCATGGCAGCGGTAAAGCTTGGAGACAAGTGGTACATGCCCTTAATCATGTTAACTTGGAGTCTCAGGCAAAATTCAATGTACACATCCATAAAGCCACTCATCTTTTTTTTTTTTTTATTTTATTTTATTTTAGGTACTAGGGATCGAACTCGGGACCTTGTGCTTGTGAGACAGGCAGCAGAACCACTGAGCTAAATCCCCGGCCCCTAAAGCCACTCATCTTAAGAGTCACTGCGATGCCGTAAAGCAGAGGCACAGTAAAATGTCTATGCATTTAGCCCCGGAGACCTAAACGCTGCACTGGAAGCTCAGGCAGTGCAGCAGTCAGAGCTGGCTTTGAGTGCAGTTCCTGACTAGCGTGGGGCTCGGGGCAGATCACACCAGTCCTGAACACTTCATCAGAGAAATGGGGCCAGGGTGACACTTAGGTCAGAAGGCAAAATGCGGATGCACTGAAGGCTCCGCACTAAGCCCCGCAGGACAGCACGGTGTCACCTCGAGGTGACTGAGGACTGCACATGTAGCCCCACGGTTTCGCAAGCTGTGCCCTTTGTTCTCCTCTGTGGCCTCTGTAAGACGAGGCTTCTCTTAAGTAAATTCAGCAATGTGCATGGAACTCTGAGCAGAGGAAAATTATTCACGGTACAAAAAGGGCCACAGTAGGTTTCCCTGGAGCAACTGATAACATATTTGGCAAAAGTACTATTGGAATAACTATCTGTGCCTGGGACGACACCGTCTCTGGAGGTACCGCCTCTAAAGCGCCCTCAAAGGCACTTACTTCCAGGGCACAAGGAGACATTCTCATCCCGACCAGAGGCCCCTGCGAGACACACCCCAACACCTCCGCAAGGCCGGACCTAAGTGACAGAGCCTCTTCCGAGGGGAAAAATGGAAGGAGCCCTGGGCAGCCACAGGGGGTCGGTCCGGGTGGTCTGGGAAGAGCTGGGCAGCGGGTGAGGCCGCCCTGGCGACCGACAGCCCCACTCGGACTCAGGTATGAGGCCTTACCAGAGATCTTTCTGTCTTCTGGACTGCTCTTTCCTGATGGTATAGAAATACAAAAATTAGGGCCAGGGATTTAGCTCAGTGGTTCCACCGCCTGCCTCACAAGCGGAAGGACCTGAGTTTGATCCCCGGTACCAAAAATATATATACAAAAATTAGGGCCGGGGATGTAGCTCAGTGGTTCCATCACCTGCCTCGTAAGTGCAAGGTCCCGAGTTGATACCGAGTACCAAAAAAAGAAAAAAGAAATATAAAAATTATTCTACCTTTTCGTTTGAAGTTAATTTCATTTTTTTTCATAGGAATATGTCTTCACATTTAAGAAACAGATATGGGGAAAATATGAAATTTCACTTCATACTTGATCATTCAAGAAAGCATGTACTTTAAACATACTACAATTTTTTAAAAACATACAATTTAACATCATAATTTAATAATCTTGAATCATTACAAAGGTTAGAACTTCATTAAAAAATCAAAAGCATTACTCATCACTATCAGCTACTTAGGACTTTATAGGATTCCTCCAAATATAATTATCATCATTAGTGAGCACTACAAGCAAACACTATGTATAGGGCCCTGAAATAAACAGCATTAAGAGGAATTAACAATAGGCTTTTAATAACTAATTTTTAGCCAGGCATGGTAGTGCATGCCTATAAGCTTAGCATTCAGTAGGCTGAGGCAGGAGGATCTTCACGAGTTCTAGGCCAGCCTGGGGTACAAAGTGAGACCTTGTCTCAAAAAAAAACCCTAATTTTTAAAAACTAGTCTTAATATCTAGAAAATATCATATTATTAAAATGTGGAGGTTTTATACACGGAGGTCACATGTGCAGTATAACTTGCTCCTGTCTTCCCAGAGCTCTATGGTCCCAGCCCTTGTGGGTGATCTTTTCCTTCTATTTATTACTGGATATCAGTTCTGTGACATTTCCCATTTCAGGTGTGGCTATAAAGCCAAGATAGTAAGAATCAAACTTTACCTGTAGGGCTAACAGGAAGAGACTCCAGCCCCTCCCAAGAAAGTGCTAACAACACAACTCCAAGGCAAATGAAACCAAGCACAGTGGGGATTTATCTCCGAAAGAGCAACAGCACAGGTCTCTACTGGAGGAAGACAAGAGATCACAAACTTATGAAGGGAAAATGTGAACAAACAGCTGGAACCAGGGCTGAGGGTGTGGCTCAGTGGTAGAACTTGTGCTTAGCATGTGTAAGGCCCTGGGCTCAATCCCCAGCACCAATAAGAGGCAGACAAAGAGTAGTGCCACCTAGAGCCACACAAAGACAGTAGTAGAGAGAGAAATTTTTCATGTAACAAATACTGTATGAGTCTATGAAAATTCTATTTATTTAGGTATGTGAACCTCAGACTGATCATGACACACAAAAACAATCTGCATACTAACAAGACAGAAACAAATGCAATGGGCTGGGGATGTAGCTCAGCGGCCGCTCCTGCCTGGCAAGTGCAAGGTCCTGAGTTCAATTCCGGTACAGGGGGTGGGGGAGTAAAAGAAACAGACACAACATATGAAAGGGACGAAAAGAAGGTTAGAAGACCCTCAAGTACATTTTCTGATTGCTCTGGAGAGATTATGTGATGAAACTACTCCTTTAGAATACTGTAACCTCATGCACAAAATGCATTTTAGAATCACTGTCATTTAATACATTATAACGTTTATGTTGTTACAAATTTAATGTAAACAAGTTCTTTATAGTGGATTCTAACTGGAGAGATCCCTACCAATAATTTACCAATGCATCATTTCCAAATTGGTAACAAAACAGTGCTTGCTTCGGCAGCACAAAACAAATCAATTCTCTCACCTCAGCATCATGTAATCCTTTTTTTTTTTGTACCAGGAATCGAACTCAGGACCTTGTGCTTTCTAGGCAGGCGGCGGAACCACTGAACTAAATCCCCAGCTCAACATCATGTAATCTTTTTACTACGTGCACACATAGCCAGCTAAGGAAATAAGCACTGGAAATACCTTAAGTAACTAAATTATTCTGTGGCATACCAATTCAATATATGAAAAAGTTAATTCCATAATTTAAAAAGTTAACATTTGGTAACTAGGTAAATACCATGTGTCATTTAATGTCTTCTGGAAATAATTGCCCAAAATTATTCTAATTTTCAAAGAAAAATTAAGACATACTTTCCAAGGTCCATTTCTGTCTCGGTATCAGCACGGTAAGAACAACCCAGAAACCCACCTCGGTGTGTCTTTGATGTAATGCATTATATTCCTTCTTCAGTTCTGCTTCTCTTTCTTCAAGTCTGCTAACTGAAATTAAGATACATACACTTAATCAAAACCAAATATGAGAAACTTGCTTGAAAATGTCTGTCTTTAAAACTTAAAATGGATTATCCATCACCCTTAGCAACTTTAAGACTCCGTGCTCCAAATGAAACTCTGCACAAAGTGGTGACCTCATTTCATCATCCTTAAGTCTTTCGAAGGAGGGGAAACAGGAGAAAAACAAAACAAAAAACAAAAACCTGACCATCAGATTGGTTTTCTAACGTTTACATTTACCACGTCATCCTTCTAAAAGGTTTTTAACATAATGAAGAATTACCCGCTTCAAACACGCAAATCACTTCTCATGAATATTAACCTGGGTCTGACCCAAGCCCTTCTAGCTCCGGTTGAGCTCTTTTCTGGACCGGCAGGCTGCAGGTGCAACTGTGCGCCCTTTCCTGCATCTCAGCTGCTGGACTGCAGGACTCATCTTCTTCTCTTTAGCTCTCTCTGCTGGCTGCTTGTGGAGCAGCGCTTATAGAATACAACAACTGTCTGATACTCAAACACAGGGCTGGCTTCCGCCTGAGACACTGCGGGGCAGCACAGCTTTCACAGGAGACGGTGGCTGAGAGCAAAGGATGACTCAGAGAGGAGGGGGCGTCCAAGCGGGGCCGCGAACCAATGCCAGGCAAGGCGCACGGTGAGCAGCGTGTTCCAGGCAGTGCCACCGCTGGCGGAGCACAAAGCCTGCGCGGCCCGGGGAGGTCCTGCTGCAGGCCGTGGGGACACTGGAGCAGGTCAGGGCCGGGAGCGGCCAGCACGCCAGGCTGCCTGTGAGTGTGTCAGGGCCACCGCGTAACAGACACGTCCCTGTGCTGTCCACGCGCCGGCCGCACACAGGCGGCCCGCTAAACTCAGGGTTTGTGCGCCTTCACCCGACACAGTCTGTCTGAATAGCTCGGAAATGCGACGTTGATCAGGAAAATTGTAACTGCTTTTGTTTTAATTCGTTTCTAATTCAAGCCCAGGAGCCTTGGCTCGTTAAATTTGCACCAGTGAATAAAGGCACAGTAGAGGACCAGCACACCCTGCCCTGTCACCCTGAGGCTGAAGTAAGGAGCTAACACACCGCAGTGACGTGGGGGGCTACTTCAAGAAAAAGAAGAGAGCCACGCAAATTAAACAAACATGTTCTACTACTTCTTGTCAGTGAAACTTATCTAGAAGTATAAGGTCATCCTGAGATTACTGGACAGCCATTGATTTTCAATTACTCATCCTTGTGAATCAGCATTTTCTTGATAATGTACCAATGAGATAAAAAAATTGGATGCTGAAGCTAAAATGATATCCAACTGTCATGCATAAACCTCAATTTCAGACTCACGCTGACATCCCGCAGCTCACAGCAGCCGCACGCACTGTGCATCACACCTGCTGATGATGGCATGATGAGAACGGCGTTGTTACTCTCATTTCAGAGACAGGGAGGGTACAGGCAAACCAAGGTTCATTCTTCCCAAGTCAAGAAGGTGACTCCTTCCTAACGGAGGAGTCTGGCTCCAGAACTGGTGTTCTTAATTATCACGCCAAAGTGCCTCTCAAGAGACTCCTTTCAGCCATACAGTGTCTGGGAAGCTGAGGCAGGAGGATCACCTAGCTCGAGCCCAGCCTGGACAACTTGGTGTTAGCAAGACTCTATCTCAAAGTAAAAAATAAAAGGGACTAGGGATGTAGCTCAGTGTAAAAGCCCTGGGTGCAATCTCCAGTACCATAAAAAGAAAAAAGAAGAAAGAATGAATGGTCCCTTTAATCTTTTTTGTATATTGACATTTACCTTAAGATTTCACTGAGGGGAGGAGGTAAGCTTCAAACACAAACTCCTCTGCTCATATAGAAATAATAGGACACAGACCTTGGAAAGGAAGACATCAGACTGCCAAACAAAAATACATCTCAACTCCGAACCATGGGAGATGCAGATGGCCCTGGGTTAAGTGCAGTCTGTCCCCCAGGTCCCTGTGCTGGAAGCCTCAGTCCCCAGGATGCTGGTGTGGGAGGGTGTGCGGAACCCTGGGAGGTGGGGATCAGCGAGCAGTCCATGGATCACAGAGGCGCTGCCCTGGGAAGGGAGCAAGGTGGGCCTGTGAGACAAAGCTGTCGTAAGACAACTCGAACCCCAGACACCTCTCTGGCTCTGCTTTGAGGTGGGCTCTCCTCCTCCCACGTGCGCCCCGCCATTGTAATGATGCCTTCTGTCATTAGACCTTCACCAGAGAGCCAACCAACTCCCCACACTCGGCCCAGTCTTGGACTGGGAATTCCAGAACTGTGACCTAAATAAACCTTGTTTCTTTATAAAGTTAGCCTGCCTCTGGTATTTTGTTAAAGAAATGAAAAACAGAGTAAAACATTAAAACCAAAATAGAACATAAGTACATACCTATCAGACTGACTACAATAAGAACTACAATGGACCCTGACTTATGAACTCAACTCGTTCCCGAGGGCTGGTTGTTACTCACGTTGGTCAACTGAAGGCTCAGGCTCCTCTACACAGCCTTCAAAGTCTCTCTCCCGTACACAGGCAGATCTCAGTGTGTCCTTAGAGAGACACTGGCCCAGGATTTCTCAAATAACCCCACACAGGAAAGGATGTTGTAATGTTCCTTCCAGAACTCTTTAAGGGTTAAATCTGTATTTGAGACCATCTGGAAGCACAAGTAGCTGGCATTCGGGTCATAACTAAAAACTTTGGTCATAAGTTAAAACTAAAATTCCAGTCACAACCCAAGTTGTTCATATGTCAGGCCGGTCATAACTGGAGGATCCACTGTACAAAATACTGAGTACTGATGAGAAACAAAAACAAACAAACAAAAAAGTGACAAGAAACAAGTGGAACTTCCACATACTGTGAGTGGGAGTATGAATTGCTACGCTCAGTTTAAAAACTGTTTGGCAAGACAATAAAGCTGAATGTTTGCCAGCCCTATGACAAAGTAATTTGACCTCTAGGAAATACATTTATGAATCCACCTAAAGGCCTTTAAAACAATGTTCAAAGAAGCACTATCCCTAACTACCAAAACCTAGGGGAAAACTCCAGTTGTCCAAGAGAAGAATGGATGAATGTTCAGGTACTGCAATACTACACCAGAGTGAGGAAGCTATTTCCTCACACGTCATGGACGAGTATCACAAGCATGTTGTGAGAAAAAAGCAGAAACAAAAGGATACAAAATCCAAAGATACCAAAAACTCAAGCAATGGTAGCTGGGACAGTGGTTAGCCCCTGGAGTTAGTGGCTGATGAACTTTCACTTATCTGCGCCCCCACCCCCACCCCCAGTCCAAACACAGTGTTTGTTCATCCACTGAGACCGGCAGGTGGCTTCAACACCTATCACTAGACATGCTCCCCAACAACGGCCAGGAGCTCAGTATCAGCATAGGGTTTAAGCAGGCTAACCGGAGCCACTTCCAACAAGTTGTTCTGTTTTGACTTGAGAATCCATAGGGAAATAGCAAGTTACCAAACGGATGAAATATAAACAAGAAGAAAAAAAAGTAGGCATGGGAGAATACATAGGTCCTCTTTGGGAAGTAATGTTGGTGGTTTCTACTAAATCAGCAACATGTATTTCCTTTCTGCAATATTACTCTTCTTATTTATCACACAGACACTTGCCCAGTTATGAAAATGGACTTTCTTTTTTCCAGTACTGGGAATCAAACTCAGGAACTTGCACTGTGAGGCAGGCGCAGCACACTGAGCTACAACCCAGGCCTGAAAATACATCTTGCTGGGTGTGGTGGTGCATGCCTGCAATCCTAGTACTCAGAAGGCTGAGACGAGAGGATCCCCATGAGTTTGAGGCCAGCCTGGGCTACATAGTGAGTTTAAGGCCAGTCTGAACTACACAGCAAGACCCTGTATCAAAAAATTAAAAAGAAAAGAAAATAGATCTTATACACATCTCATAATAGTCCCCAAACTGGAACTACCCCAAGATCTGTCATTAGGAGGTTAAGTGAATTTTGAAAGTCTTAGGATGGAATCCAGGGCAGTGGCTTTGCTGCTTCCTTGTCACATGACCTTGAGTTAATTAACCTTTGTGGGCCTTGGTTTCCTTATCTGAGTAAAAACAGTGTATTGGAGTTGATATGAAGACTGAGTTAATATCTGTGAAGAACCTGGGAGAGCACACATGGACACATGTCTTTCAAATAAAGTACATTCATTAAAGATGTCTCATGTGCTCTTTTTTGCTGTTGTTGTTTTGCAAAGTGCTAGTAACTGAACTTCAGGGTGTGTTTGGATTTCATCAGCTTTTCCATTAATGTTTGTTCTAAGTTCCAAGTAAGGACTGTACCAGCACCTATCCCGGCTTAACAAGCTACCGCATCAGTGACTAAGAACAACACACATCTGCTCTCTCCGGTCCTATGAGTGAGGGGTCTGCAGCCCTCACTTAGGTCCCCAAATTCAGGCTCTTGTGAGGGCGCAAGCACCCAGGTGTTGACTAAGATGGAGCGCTCATGTGCTGGTGCAGTCCGGGAAGGGAATGCCCCGCTGTGTGAGGTGACTGAAGACGCAGTCCCTGTGGCCTGCTGAATGGGCAGACCTGGTTCCTCGCTGGCTGTCACCTGCATGCACCTCCATTCTTGCCACGTTTGCCTGTGAGGCAGCTCACACCATAGTAGTTTGCTCCGTGCAAACTCAATGGGGTCACAGACAACATGTGCCTCACGCTGTCTGTGTATTTTTTAGATAACCTTATATCTGGAACAGTTTTAGGCTCACAGGGAAATGGAGCAAAAGAAGAGAATCCTCATGCACCACCCCCAGCACACTCTCCCCACTACTGACATCCGCAGTGAGGGGGGCATCTGCTGCCATCAATGAATCTGCTCGGCACGCCGTGACCCACACATATGCTGACATGAATGTTCACTCTGAACATGGACACGCTCCAGGTTTTGACATGTGTACAATGCACACACATCCATGGTCAGAGTATTATACCAAGCAGG